ACAATGAAGAGATAGTCATCTCAGAATGATAAGAGTCAATTCAACAAGCGATAATAATAATCCTTAAAAGTATATATATAATCTAATAACAGAAGTTCTGAAATACATGAAGCAAAAATGGAATGACTGAAATTCTAAAAGAAATTTAGAAAACCTTAATTAAAGCCAAATGTTTTGATTTCTGTCTAAAAACTTGATAGAACAAGTAGGGAGAAAATTAGAAAGAAAATAGCAGCCTGAATACCACTACCAATCAATCGTATCTAATCGATCTTGACAAAACCTTCTACCATCCAACAACATAATATACAAGTGTGCCTATAACATTTACCAAGATTCATCATATTCTGAATCACAAAGTATAAGTAACTTTAAGATTATTCAAGATACACAAAGTATGCTATATGACCGCAATGACATCAAGTAGAAATAAATAATATAAAAATATCCAGAAAATACTCAAATATCTGTAAATTAAACAACATACCTCTAAACACCCAATGGAGTCAAAGAAATAAAAGAAATTAAAAAGTATATGTAACTGACAGAAAAAAAATACCACATACCAAAACTTGTAGGATGACACTAAAGTTAGGGAAGAATTTATAACACTATACACCCACATTAAAAAGAGAAAGGCCTCAAACCAATAACCGCATCTTCTTTCTTCAAAACCAGAAGGAAAAAAGCCAATAAAACACAAAATAAGCAGTAAGAAATATTAAAGTAGAGAACAGTGAATAAGGAAAAAAATGTAATAGAGAAAAATGAATGAAACCAAATGTTGTTTCTTTGAGAACAGCAAAACTGATAAATCTCTAGGGACAATAAGTAGGCTAAAAAGAGAAGACGTAAATAACCAAAATAGGAATGAGAGTTACAACATCACTAATGATTCCACAGCTATAAAGAAGATAACAAGCAAATATGAATAATTTTATGCCTATACATTCAATAACCATTAAAAGACACAAGCTGACAAAGTTCATTCAAAAACAAAGATACTGGGGCACTGTGGTGCAGCGGGTAAAGCCGCTGACTGTAGTGCCGGCATCCCATATGGGCGCCAGTTCGAGTCCCAGCTGCTCCACTTCCAATCCAGCTCTCTGCTATGGCCTGGGAAAACAGTAGAAGATGGCCCAAGTGCTTGGGCCCCTGCCCCCGCATGGGAGACCTGGAGTAGGCTCCTGGCTTCTGCCTTCAGATCGGCACAGTTCCAGCCATTGCAGCCAATTGGGGAGTGAACAAGCAGATGAAGACCTCTCTCTCTCTCTCTCTCTGCCTCTCCTCTATCTGTGTTAACTCTTTCAAGTAAATAAATAAATCTTTAAAAAAAAAGATATTACAAAAGCCTTAGTTTTATAAGCATTACATAAATTAAATTTGTATTTAAATATGCTACCAAAAAGAAAATTTCAGACTCAGATGGCTTCACTGGTGAATTCTACGAATCATTTAGGATAATTTACACTGACTCTATACAAACTTCCAGAAAACTGAAGAGGAAAAAGCTCTACCCAATTCATTTTGTGATGCCAGAATTAATACCAAAATAGATAAAAATACAAGAAAGCTATAGTCAAATACTCCTTATTTCAATTGATGCAAAATTTCCTAACAAACTTTGTGTAAACTTCATCCAACAGTATACGAAATAGCATATCATGATTAATGGAGTTTATCCACAAGTGTGAGGTTAATTTAACACTGATGATCAATTGATGCCATTCACCTTATTAAAAGAATTAAGAAGAAAATACAAATTGAGTACTTCAAAAAGTTCATGGAAAACAGGATTAAAACATAAGTTGACTGTGGCACAAAAATTATGAAATCCAGGTTTTTCTCACAATATGCATTTTTCATGAACTTTGTAAAGACTCTCTTACACATGATTTTCAAAAAATTTTTCCACCAAAATAAACTTTAAAAAAATTTAGAGGCAGGCATTTGGCAGTGTTTAAGAGGACTCTGGAATGCCTGCATGCCATTCTGGAGTGCCTGGTTTCAAGTTCTGGCTTAACTTCCAGCTTTGGGCTAATGCACACCCTTGGGAAGCAGTAGGGTCTGCCTCAAGTACTTGGGCCCCTGTCACCCGTGTAAGAGACCCAAATTGAGTACTAGGCTTGTGGCTTCAGACTGGCCCAGCTCTAGCTGTTGTGGGCATTTAGGGAGTCAATTATTTTATGGAAGAGATCTCTTTCTGCCTGTCTCAAGTAAATAAATAAATATGGGTTTTTTTTTCAATTTTATTTATTTGAGAGATAAAGAGACAAGATGTGAGCAGAGAGCACACTCACCTCCATCTGCTGGCTCACTTCTCAAATTCTTGCAAGGGCCAGAGCTTTGCCAGACCAAAGTTGGGATGTGGGAACTCAATTCAGGTCTCTCATGTGGATGGCAGGGACCAACCTGCTACCTCCCAGGATATGTATGCATCAGGACTAGATCTAGACACAGCAGGCATCCCAACTGGCATCTTAACCACTAGGCCAAACACCTGTCCCTAAAGTAACCTTTTAATTCTACTTTCCAAGAATTTTTTGAAGCCCCCTTATATGACTATCTTAGTAAACACAGAAAAAGCATTTGACAAAATCTAACACCCATATTTGACTTTTAAAATGTAACAGAAAGGAACATTGTCAACTCAAGAAAGGACATTTAAAAATGCCTATATTACCTTTATAATTTATGGTGAAATTATGCTTCCCCCTAAGATCAGAAACAAGGCAAGAATGCTCCCACCAATTCTAGTCAACATTGGACTGGAAGTTCCAGCTAGTGTGAAAAAATAAAAGAAATAAAAGATATCCATAACCAGAAAGAAGTAAAACTCCTTATTCACAGATAAGTAGAAAAGCCTTTGAAATCTGAACAAAAGATGCTACAAATAAAAAGTAAATTTAGCTAGAATATGACACAAGCTCTACACATGAATGACTATTTTTCTCCCCAATTTGAAATTGATATTATGAAATCAATTCTATTTACAATAGCATTAAAAACTAGTTAAAGCTAACTCTGACAAAAGATGTGCAAGATATATACACTGGAAACAAAAAAAAATGAGTGAAATTAAAGAAGATATAAATGGATTTAAAGACTCAATGTTGCTAAAATGTCAGATATCAGTAAACTAACCTATATATTTGATGTAATCTCAATCAAAATCTCAGCAGGTCTTTCTATAGAAAATGAATATTTGATTTTAAAATTAATATACAAATGCATATGACCTAAAAGAAAAATAACTTTCAGAGAAACAAAACTCAAGGAGTTTTACTACGTGACTACAAGACACATTATAAGGGTATGGTGATCAAGAAAGTGTGGTATTGTCATAAAGACAGACAAATGGATCAATGAACAAATATCCAGAAATAGACCTTAACATATACAGGCAATTGACTTTCAACAAAAATGCAAGGTTATTCAGAGTAGAAAGGATAGTTTTTTCCCATGATGATACTAGAGCAACTGGATATTTATATGTAAAAAAATGAGTGTCAATATACATCTATAACCATGTACTGAAATGAACTCAAAATGAATCAGAAACCTCAATGTAAAACCTAAATCACAAAACCTCTAGAATACATGGGAGCAACTATTTACCTAGGATTTGGCAAATATTCCTTAAATAGGATACTAAAATCACAATTAATAAATAGAAGAAAAACCTAAGAATCATATTACATCAAAATAAAGAACTGCAACTTTTCAGAAGATACTGTTAAGCAAATGAAAAGACAAACCATATACCAGAAGAAAATATTTGTAGACATCATATATGATCAAGGACTCACAGTCAATATATATAAGCAATCTCAAAACTCAATAAGAAAATAAACAATCCAATAAAAATGAGCAAAAGATTGAAACAGTTTACAAAAGAAGATGGATGACAAATAAATGCATGAAGAGATGCTCAATATCATTAATCACTGGTGTGATGCAATCCAAAACCACATTAAGATACAACTACACACTTAATCAGATGTCCAAAATTTTAAATAGGATGACCATACCAAGTGTTGGTAAGGGTGTGGAGCAACTCAAACTCTCATCGCTGCTAGTGGGAATGTAAAACTTACAAAACCACTTTGGAAAAGAGCTTAGCAGTGTCTTTAAACGTTAAAACGTACACCTACCATATGACATACACAGTTACTATTCTCCTAGGTATTTTCCCATGAAAAATGAAAACATTTGTCCATACAATCACTTGAACATAAATGTGTACAGCAGCTTTACTGGTAATATCTAAAAACTGCAACCATTCAAACATCTATCAACAGGTGAATCCATAACAAATTATGGTAAAACCATACAACTGATAATACTACAAAGTAATAAAAATGAATGAACTACACTGATAAATACAACAACATGGATGAATCTCAAAATAATTATGCTGAGTTAAATAAGCCAAGCAAAAAAATGAATATATACTTTTCTATATAAACTTCTACAAAATGCAAACCAAACAGTAACAAAAAGCAGATTCAGTGGGGTTAGAGCAGAAGGCAGCATTACAAAGGGACACAAGAAAACTTTTACACTAATTATTTTTATTGTAATGATGGTTTCAGTTATATAAAAATGCCAAAATATATCAAATTGTGTATTTTAAAATATGTGTTTACTGTATGTCAATTTTAACTCTATAAAGCTATATTTTAAATGACTAAATTAAATACTCTTCTCAGAGGCATTTAAGTAGCTTGAGTAGCCAAAGTCCTAGGCTTGTCCATATCTACTTCATCCAGTTATTCATATTATTATTGTGTCTAAGAGAATAATGAGAAGCACACTGAGTTAATCTCAATAACAAGTAGACAGAAAATGCCATTAATTTGGTACATCATTAAATTCCATGCAATGAAATAAGCAGAATAATTATTTAAAATTTCTATAGGAAAAATGTAATTAGCCAAAAAATGATTTTTTCTTAGCTTTGCTTCAGTAAAACAAAGTAAAAATTTACAAATACTCACTTCTTTGGATAATCTTGTGAAGACATCTCCTCCCCTGAGAAAATCCAGTATTAAATACAGCTTCCCTTCAGTCTGAAAGGCTAATTAGAAATTAGAATGTAGTAACAGAACAATATTAAAGGCTTAAAAAGCTTCGTATACATTTTAATTACTGTATCTGTTTAGGATTTTATCACTAAATACTATAAAGCAATTAAGCATTTACTCACTTGATTCATTATTGGTTAACATTATCTCAAAATTAAATTGTCTAATCCAGTGTTGGAATAAATGTAAACCCCGTCCCAGAACATAATCAACCTTGCATGTGGCTGTACACAGAAACCTCAGCCACCACAAAGTTTCTGATTTATGAAGTAGCTTGTCCTACCACAGTTGTCTGAACTTTACTTCACAACCACCTATTGAAAGTCTTGTAATTTTATACAGCTCAATAATAATGCCACCTCCTCTATTAAGTTTTTCAGGATTTCTTTCTTTGCACATTTCCTTACAGCATCATTACCTCTTTCCCCATCTAAATTACATGCTACTATTTTGATTTTGTTGTACTTTACTTATGCCTTTCTTATTGCTATGCCATATTGATTCATATAATTAATTCATTTACAAATGAATTAATTGTTCTTACTGATTATAAATTTCTTGAGGTCAGAAATTATTCTACTTCTATAGCCCACTGCATTTAATACAGTATTTTGTACACGACAGGTGTTTACCAATTGATGACATACTGGAGATTCAAATATGTCTTTACAGACTACTACTTTTACTCCATTAGGGTAACAAGGAGTTAAAAAATGGGTGGGAATTTCTTTACAGGTGTTAAAAATATAACTGGGTACATATTTTTGCATACTATTTGTCAAAATTACACTAAATAAAATCAATAGTTGCTTTTTTAAATCTAGAAAATTTAAAGTGATATAGAAGACTGTATATATCTAGATAGATAATATACCATTATTCTGTATAGTCTCTCCATACACACACACACACACACACACACACACATCCCAAACACACGTATACGGAGAGAGAAAAGTAAATGTTGAGTGTGTGATTTTAGTTCCCAGGGAAGGATTACTGCATAATTTCATCCATATATTAAATTAACAACACAAGCATGATTCAAATTCAAAATGTCTGAGGCCAAAGTTCACGCTCTTTCTATTATACCTACTGCTTAACTGCTATTCCTCTCCACTTAATTCTAAAAAAAAAATTCAAACAGACTAATATAACTACATGGTCCTCTTAAACAGAATCAGGAAATAAGATCAATATGGTCATTATGAAAAAACACCCAATTGTGTATAACAGTTGTTTTTAGCCTAAGATCACTGAAGTACAGCCTAGCGGAGTAAAGAAATACTACCAGATAACTAAGATACTATCTTGTTTCCTTAGAGAAGTTAATTAATTTAGACAAATGAAGGAAATAAAACTAAAAGCTAGGTATTGATACTTACTTCAAAGACATTTTATACAGCTTAATATATTAAGAGAGCTTTACTTATTTATTGCAAGAATTTTCTTTGAAAAGAAACGTTAATTCTCTAATCCCATAAATAAAAGATTACATACCATAGTGCAATTTGACAATAAATGGATGATTTACTTCCACAAGTATATCTCTTTCCATCTTTGTCCGAACTCTGTCTCGAACTAAAAATTACATAATATATTACTGTAGTACCTAATTGCAGTAAAGATCTCATTAATAATATACCAATAAAATATAAAACGCAACCTCAAAAGCGCCTAAACTTATAGTCTACATATTCTTGGACAATAATTACATTCTCAAAAAGTCAGCAAATTCAGTTTAGATCTAGAGATGGGTTAAAGTGACATAAACAGGTATTTGGTTAATAACAATTCTAGTTTTTAATAGTTCAAATGCACAAATGAGTATAGTTTATTACAATTTTAAGTTCAGTTTAAAATAAATGAAATATGTCATTTTTTTCTAGCATTAAATTTTTACCAGGGTACATTCTCATTAAATTAGGCATATGGAAGAATCAGTGTTGTGGTGTAGCGGGTTAAGAAACTGTCTGCAATGCCAGCATCCCATTTGGGCACTAGTGTCTGTCCTGGCTGCTCCACTTCTGTTCCATCTCCCTGCTAATGCACCTGGGAAAGCAGACACAGATGGCCCAAGTGCTTGAGTCCCTACCATCCATGTGCAAGACCTGCAAGAAGCTCCCTGATAATTTGGGAAGTAAACTAGCAGATGGAAGACCACCCCCACTCTGTGTGTGTGTGTGTGTGTGTGTCTCCCTCTCTCTACCTCTGCCTTTCAAATAAATAAATCTTTTAAAAAAATTAAGGCATATGCCAATATCAGACCTAGATATATCACTTACTGGCTAGAAAACTCTAACAACTGTTGATGCTAACAAAATCTCTATTTACTTTATATAAGCAATACACAGCATATTTTTTAAAGATTTATTTTTATTTTATTTGAAAAGCAGAGTTACAGAGAGAGAGAAAAAAGATACAGAGAAAGAGATCTTACATGCATTAGTTCACTCCCCAAATGGCCACAACAGCCGGGGCTGGGCCAGGCCAAAGCCAGGAGCCAGGAGCTTTTTTCAGGTCTCCCAGATGGATACAGGGACCCATGGACTTGGGCCATCTTCTGATGCTTTCCCAGGCACATTAGCAGGGAACTGGATCAGAAGTGGAGCAGCTAGGACTCAAACCAGCGCCTGTATGGGATGCCAGTGTTGCTGGTGGCAGCTTAACTCACGCAGCCACAATACTGGCCCCACAGCATTTTTTTATATAATAAGCTTTCCCAAATTCTATTTTAATAAACTCTTCTAATTTTCTACCTTTTAAAGAAGCCTTTTTTAACACCTTCATTGCATAGAGCTGCCCAGCATCAGGACCAGTCTTCTTTCTAACAAGAAAAACCTAATAGGGAAATGAAAATAATAAAAATCACATTTCAAGTCATTCTTGCTCAAGCCAAGCACACTAGCAGACACCTATGCCCTCGCATGCTATAAAGATATATCTTCCTCCATAAATTATACTATAATTCATAGCTGTAGTTAATATTTTCTCACTTTCTCATTCGTTCAGTAAATCACTCTACATATACATAGCATTTTAGAGAAGAAAATGTGTAAAAATAGATGACAAAGTCCTGAACTCTACAAAGCTTGTGGTATGAGAGGTAAATAACTTAATGAAAGATTAATTTGAGCTAAAGATCTCCTTTTAAGACCCAAATCCATTTTTGTTATCTTAATGAATAGGAAACAAATGTTATAACTATGAATTTGACGTGTTCATTTCTATCTTACTAGTTCATTTAGGAAGTTATCAGGCATTTTGATTTCCCAATAAGATACTTCAGTTCTCTACCATGTAAAACAAGTGGCAAATTATTTTAATTTAAAAAGGTTGAATTCTATCTAAAGTTACTAAGTGAGCATTAAGTAATATGTCATTTTTCAACCTGCAATAGTGGCTTATGAAAAGCTAAAAAGTCTTTACAAGGCCTCAGTTATGAAGAATCTATGAATATAGTTTTACAAGATCTATTCATTAGGAAAGAGCCATTTCATTCTTTAGTTAGTAATACTGTTCTCTGCCTCAATCTGTTACCCCCGATCCTAACAAGTTCTAATGAAATGTTGCTTCAATTCAAAAAGGAACTAAGTGGCTGGCGCCGTGGCTCAATAGGCTAATCCTTCGCCTGCGGTGCCGGCACACCGGGTTCTAGTCCTGGTCAGGGCACCAGATTCTGTCCCAGTTGCTCCTCTTCCAGTCCAGCTCTCTGCTGCGGCCTGGGAAGGCAGTGGAGGATGGCCCAAGTCTTTGGGCCCTGTACCCGCATGGGAGACCAGGAAAAGCACCTGGCACCTGGCTTCGGATCAGCGTGGTATGCCAGCCACAGCACGCCAGCCGCAGAGGCCATTGAGGGGTGAACCAATGGAAAAGGAAGACCTCTCCCTCTGGCTCTCTCTCTCACTGTCTACTCTGCCTGTCAAAAAAAAAAAAAAAAAAGGAACTAAGTAACTAAGTTATTCACATAAAACTGCAAATGGGGGGACTGTTAAGTAATTGCTGCTGCTTTTTCAAGGTATAGCTCAAAATCTTTTATTCCACATCTTCCATGTGATAATTATGCATCAGCAAACTGGGGAACAGAGGAGTTCATCCAAAATCTCTAACATAATTTTTGCATCATTTAACATATTCACCTATTAAATGATCAATGACTCACCTATCTATATCCTATACTTCATGCAACCTCTGCTTTCTTCTTTCCTGAAAGTGAATCTTTAGATCAGACCTAAACTAACAGAGTTTTCCCCAGTGGGCAGTACTTCTCACATGTTCTGTGAGGAAAAATGAGTACTTTTTTTCTTTCTCTCAATGTACTGTAGGTCATACTTTCATAAAACATAATTAAAAAAACAAAATTAAAGTCACATAAAATACAGTATTTTTAAACTAAGAGATTCCACAAACATAAAATTACTCCGTCAAACTGCTACAAAATTTTCTAAAGGCTTACTCTTAGTTTTGAACATTTCTCCCAGTGAACCAGTAACAGTTCATACTATACTTGGAGTAGACTAATCAAGAGTTCACACATTAACAAGTAGTTGCTTTTTGCAATATAAAGCTATCTTTGAAGAAAAGATGAGTTCAAGGTTTGAACCAAATCATACATTTTGCATTCAACACAAATAATTCTGTACTAAAAGGATTAACAGATTAAAACTACCATCTTTTGTCCCTTACTTGTCATAGATCTAGTCTGAACTCCAAGCAAATGTCCCTAAATAATTTAGAACCCTGAAATAATGTGGGTCTTTACCATAGAAGATTTCAATGGCTTTAATCCATGGTGTTATTTTTACTACACTTAAATTTGGAAAGGATATTCCTAAAAGCACAAAGTTTTTCACTAATCAAAGGTTCAAATTTAACATACCCATAGCCTACCCTCAGTGTCCTTTAGAATGGAGGCATTAGAAAATAAAGGTCTTATAAATTAACAGTGCTAAATCTGGCTTTTTAATCACAGAAGTATACCATATGAACTGAATTAGATAGAATATATATACAAACCAGATTACCATGGGACACTAAATATCATATAATACATATTGATTAAGCTACAGAAGCTACAACCCGAGATACATATTTATTCATCTAGTTTTACAAGTTTTCATTTATTGGCAGACTGGTACATGTTTGTATAGATTATTTAAGAGGCAGTAGATTAGCAGTAGATTAAACGAGCTGCCTCACCACAAAAAAAATCTTCAAAACTAAGCAAATGGGGCCAGCGCCGCGGCTCAATAGGCTAATCCTCTGCCTGCGGCGCCGGCACACCGGGTTCTAGTCCCAGTTGGGGCTCCGGATTTTTCCTGGTTGCCCCTCTTCCAGGCCAGCTCTCTGCTGTGGCCCGGGAAGGCAGTGGAGGATGGCCCAAGTGCTTGGGCCTTGCACCCCATGGGAGACCAGGAGAAGCACCTGGCTCCTGCCTTTGGATCAGCGCGTTGCGCCGGCCGCAGCGCGCCAGCCGTGGCGACCATTGGAGGGTGAACCAATGGCAAAAGGAAGACCTTTCTCTCTGTCTCTCTTTCTCACTATCCACTCTGCCTGTCAAAAAAAAAAGAAAACATACACTAAGATTCAGCTAAGCAAATGGCATTAACACTAAGTACCAGCTCAGTTTTTCCTCAATTTTACTGATAAGGTCAAATTAATGCAGATAACCTACTAACCTACCTTACAGTTTTTCTCATAATCACAATGATAATAAACAAGTAAGAGATCTACCTTGTTTCTCTCAGGAAAGCAATTCTAAACCTTTCTTGTCTCAGAAATCTTTCATAATCTTAAAAATTACTGAAGACTTACATCTATGGATATTTACCATATTAGAACTAAAACAGAAAAATTAAGAAGTAAAAATAAATCTAATTTAAGAATTAAAAATAATCTAATGTTTTTATGAAGATAATTTTATTTTCTAAAGTTTAAAAAAATTAATGAAACGAATGACACTGATGTACATTCTTGCAAATTTCAAGTATCTGGTTTAACGGAATACAACTGGATTCTCATCTCTGCCTCTACATTCAATCTGTTGCAATTAAGTTGCAATTAAGTTGTTTTGCTTCTGAAGTATAAGTAGAAAATCAGGCCTGATAGGGTATGATTTGAAAAACAGAAGGAGTATTTTAAGAGTTTTTCATACAACTGTGGATACTCTTTTATATAACATCACAACTGGACAAAAGTTCATCACAATAGAGAATCTGAAACTTACCAATTAACTTGTCCATCTGCTGTAATTCAAAAATCTGTTGATCTACCCTGTACTTTGAATGGCTTTTATTCCCAGGGAGGATCAGATACATATCATGCATTGGTCAACTTAAAAAAACTGATTCACTTAGTTATGCAGATATTCCAAATGATAAAACAACCATATCATCAGAAAAGTCTTTATTAAGAAGATGTCATATTCAAGGTACCAAATTAAAATTTTCCAAAATTTATTTTTTTGCTTTAAATCTTTCATTTTTTTATGAAGTAACAGGTTCACTTTATTCATTTTTCATAAAACATATATAAAGTACCCAAGTCTAAGTAACTGTAGTTTTAGTAATTTAAGTAAAAATGGTGATACATGATAAAAGTGACTATTTCAGCTCAACACTTAAAGCACACAAGTTTTCTGACTTGAAAAAATCATTTTATTTTGTTTTAAAGCTAAATTGCTTTATGTGTACTTGAATATTAAAAATAAGTATATCTGAGAGCTGAGATTTAGTAAACTCAGTAACTGTTAATACCTTATCAAAGACATTGTAAGTGTGAGGCAAGGAAGAATACAATGATTACTGGTACTATTTGGAGTCATTGCCTTTTCACTGTGCTAAGCAGCCAGCAGTTGAACAAACAATGTCTTAGGATTACTATGAAACATATATGACCTGATGACTCCTTAAAAGGGGGTATATCATAATATATTCAGATCACACATGAAAAACCACTTGAAAAACACAATCCTTAGTGGGTTTGAGGAAAAAAAAAAAGGACAAAAGGAGGCAATCAAGGAAGAAAGGGACAGGCTTTCAGGAAGACACTCTTGCAAAAGCAGCCATTTTTTCCAAGTCCTAACACTCACCAGTTCCCAATAAGGCATCTAAATGAAGCCATCACTCATAGTCTACAGAAATAATCATTTATTTGCTCATCATGTGATTATGATTTTTCCCCAGGTCTAACTTTTCTAGCACAAGAAAACATCACCTCTCTCTACCCTCTTCCCTAAATCAACTAAACAAGTAGCTGCATAGCTTCAAACTACTACACCTAAAATCATATCTATCCTAATAGAAGAGGCTTCTTTTCTATCCTGATAGTTTCCCATAAGGGAAACTGTCTAGAAGAGAAGTGAATGGGTTATAACAATACACTTTTCTCTCAATCAGATGGATCTTTATATTTTCTTATTAAAAGTATGCAATAAGCATGTGTTGAAGTGAACTGGAAGATCACATACCTTAAACTGCTGATTGAAAAGAAAGGATCAATTTGAAATTTTAAAATACAAGCACATATTTTTAAAACTATTACTTGGTAGTTGATCAATTATCTGCACAAAGGTTCAATATTTTCAAAAACTCATTTTTAAGTCCTATAACTTTACTATCACAAAAGTAAAACATAGTCTTTTGTAATAATCCATGAATGTTGAAGTACATGCCTTATATAAAAATGATTTGGCATATGATATATAAGGAAGGCTACTCTGACAATTTAAAACACGTTTTCATGTATTTTACTTGACTATGTCTTAAAATAATTAACATAAGTTGTTTGCTATACCACTTTTCAACCCATACATTAGTGATCACTAATAGCATTATTCTTGGTGTGTTTAGTAGAGAATTTTATATACATCTTTCATGATGATAATGTATGCTCTTTAAAATATAATTTTAATATACTTTAGTAGAGTCTCTCTCCCCATCTAATAAAGACTACAAAGGTACTTAATGTAACAAGGTTTTATGAGCTAAAATCCCATTTTTTGAATTTTAACAATGGAACCTTTGCAGAAAAACTTAAAGACTCTGCAGCCCAAGTTTCTTGGAATGGCTCCTACACTTATCTGATTCATAGCCTTGGCCAAATTCCTGAATAGGTTCAGCATATAACAAGTCACACCTACACAATGCCTACACAAATGATGTAATACTGACAAGCAAGTATATTCACATCCTAGGGAGCAAAAAAAAAAAAATCCCCCCCAAAAAAGAAACAAAGACACCTCCTTAATATTTGGTTGATGAGCTGCATAAAGATATGCATATTATTATATTCTGCATTTTATTATTAAAAATTCTCAAAAAAGATTTCAGGGATATCCTTGCTAATCCAAAGTCCATGCATAAACAAAGCTGTGTGTTTCCTGAATTTAAGCACTAAAGTGACAACTGGTCAGCATGTTGCTACCTTTAATGTAAAGATCCTACAGAAAACAATTTTTCATTATGCTATATATAATACAAATAGTCCCTTTATAAAGACCAATGACAATCTGGCATTGTGGCATAGTGGGTTAAGCCATTGCCTGCAATGCTGCTGGTTCAGGTCCCATCTGCTCCACTTCCTATCCAGCTCTCTACTAATGTGCCTGGGAAAGCAGCAGAGGACAACCCAAGTGCATGGGCCTCCCTGCATCCATGTGGGAGACCTGGAAGCAATTTGTGGCTCCTGGCTTTGGCCTGGCCCAGTCCCAGCCATTGTGACCATTTGGAGAGTGAACCAGTAGATGAAAGATCTCCCTCCTACCTTGTAACTATGCCTTTTAAAATAAAGAAATCTTAAAAAAAAAAAAGACCAATGACAGAAATTTCTCTGATCTGCTTGATCTGTTTCCACCTTACAGATACTGCCAACAATCATACACCTAAATATATCTGCTTCTTTATAACAGCTGCCAGAAAACTTAAGTATTCATTTTTGGCCCATTTCTGGAAGACTTTTAGGTCTTTATGTCATGCATTTGTGAAAAACAGGTGTAAGCCTGGCTTTATCTAATCTTTCTTGCTGTAATATTCTGATCTTTGCCACTTGATTTTATTTTATTTAGTATTCATCTATGAAAGCCTTAAATCCTTTCTGAAACAAAGATATAAATAAATAAGTATATATATGAATATATACATCAAGTGACAAAAATTAATTTTAAAGGCTGAAATGTTCTCCTGGTGAGACATTACTTAGGTAAAATATTTAAGCATGTATACATTTGGGGTATAAAAGACCTTCATCTCTGTCCTTCTAAACCTAATACTATAAAACAGCTATATAGTATAAAATAATTAGAATATTGTACCTTTAGAAACTATATAAAATAAAGGTGAAAAGCATCCGTATGCCACTTTCCTGTTAACATTTATAAATACCTACCACCACCACCACTACCAATTTATTAAGTTATTCTAGTTTTTCTGTCCCAGCATACTGTTTTAGTCCTACATCTTGTACCAATTCATTGCCAAGTCATAGCTCATCTGAGTTTGTCTTTTTGTGTCCTTAAAATGTTTTTATAGTTTATGTGTGTTCTAAATCACACAAATATCATATTACCTTAAGACAATTTCTATTTTATATTCAGCAATACTGCTTACACAACCTGTTGTGCACACCCTGAGTCCTCCATATACGTCTTTATTTAAAAATGTTCCATAGCACCATAAATAATCACTGCTCAGTTGCCTTATTTTTCTCTTTTGAAACTAGACCTTGGCTATACTGAAATAAGCAGCTTTTCCTTAACGTTCTCCCCTTAAATTGCTGTTTTCCTAAAGATCATTACTTAACATGTATATTCAATAATTTTCATATCTTAGATGTAAGTTATAAAAGGTCAGCAATCAAACTTACATACTTCTTTTCCAAGAACTATTAAGCAATTAATAAACTACTCTGATAAAGAGTATGAGTTAACCTTTTTCAATTTTGCTTTTTCCCTTGAAATTTTCTCTCCTTGAAGGCAGCAGTTTCACATAATCCACAGCGTACCTAGTACCTACACTTGTGCTACTTTATACACCCTTTTCCTACTTAGCTTTCACAGATAATAGATTAGTTCATGAATTAAGACACAAATTTTGACTTCTTGGCTAGAGCTAAGAAATGTAGATGAAATCACCAGAACAAGTTATATTCATAGCAGCATGTGAACAGGGAGAGTACTTTTTACAAAAATCATACTTAGATTTAGGTAGCTTATGAAGAGCATGCTATATTTTTCCTAGAGAAACTGGTAAGCCCAGGGGATTGAAAAAAACCTTGGCTGTTATAGGGAAGTATAAAGAAATGAGAATAAAAGTACAGCAAAAATGAATAAAATTAAAGAGTTACCTTTGTGTGCATCCTTTGAGAAGTTTAGAGATGGCACATTTATCAGATTTCTATGTACAGGTATTCTTTTTTGTTAAATGTTCAGAAGAGATGCAAATGTGGAGGAAATTATCCATTACCTTTCCAAATGATCCCTGACCAAGCACCTTGAGCAGCTCAAACTGTGCAGGATCTGCTTTCTCATATCCTTCTTTAACGTGATGAGTAATAGGGATTTCTTTAACATCTTCATCCTGTAAAAAGAAATCCAAACAATACTCAAATCTTTTTCCACTCAAAACCAGAAATCCTGAAATATCCAACTCCCTCAATCTAACACACAGTTTTATGGCCTCCTCCTAGTACTCCCATGCCTGTTTTCTAACATATGCAGAGATACTACCACCAACTTTTCCTAGAAGCATGTAAAATAAAATCTATGCTTCAGCTATCTCAACTAGGTAACCATATAAAATTGTTAACAACTAAGAGCTGAAGACCCTCACCATTGAAGTAGAGGCACAGAATGCTAAGATAAAAACTTGTGAATTAATGTGGGTAATGGCAAAAAGTGTAACCCTCAAGAGCTCTTTTTTATGATGGTAAAGCATATATATAGCCGTTCAGATGATCTCAATTTTGTTAGCAACATCCAAAGCATCATAATCAGGAGCCAGCCAAACATAGGCCTTCTTCATTCCATCGGTCTGATCAGGATGTTGACGTTGGCCACATCAATGTCACAGTGTTTCTTCACAGCCTGTTGGCCCTGACATCACAATGAACACAATGTGTGTTGTGTTCCTATCTCTCATCGCCTGCTCAGTGGTCAGGGGGAATTTGACAATGGCATAGCAGTCAAGCTTGCTTCTCCTGGGGGTGCTCTTCTGAGGATAATTGGGCTGCCAGAAGAGACACAATGTCTTGGGCCACCAGAATGAGGGTGACCATGAAGATCTTCGTGTGTGTGTGGCTGTGGATACCTTTCAGCACTTTTTTAAAAAAAAAAAAGATTTATTTTATTTATTTGAAAGACAGAGTTATTGAGAGAGATAGAGACAGAGAGAGAGGTCTTCCATCCGCTGGCTCACTCCCCAGATGGCCACAGCAGCCGGAGCTGAGCCAATCCGAAGCCAGGAGCTTCCCCCAGGTCTCCCACGTGGGTGCAGGGGCCCAAAGACTTGGGCCACCTTCTACTGCTTTCCCAGGCCATAGCAGAGAGCTGGATTGGAAGAGAAGCAGCCAGGACTAGAACTGGCACCCATATGGGATGCCGGCACTTTAGGCCAGGGCTTTAACCCGCTGCGCCACAGCACCAGCTCCAGCACTGTCTTCATAACCTTCAAAGACTGCTTTGGCTTTGGTTTTGGCTTTGGGAGGAGCAGTAGCTTCCTTCTTCACATTTGGCACCATCTTGGTAAAAAATTTCAAGAGCTCTTTTAAATAGTATTTCACTATATCTTTTAAATATTTAAATGTGCGACTAACCAGAGAGGGAGAAACTAGCATAGATTTAAAATAATTTATAGAAAAACTGGCATAGATTAAAAATAATTTACAGCTACGGCCAGAATCGTGGCTCACTAGGCTAATCCTCCGCCTGTGGCGCCGACACCCCAGGTTCTAGTCCTGGTTGCCCCTCTTCCAGTCCAGTTCTCTGCTGTGGCCCAAGAAGGCAGTGGAGGATGGCCCAAGTGCTTGGGCCCTGTACCCGCATGGGAGACCAGGAAGAAGCAGCACCTGGCTCCTGGCTACAGATCAGCACAGCGCGCCAGCTGCAGCACACCAGCCGTAGCAGCCATTTGGGGGGTGAACCAACAGAAAAGGAAGACATTTCTCTCTCTCTCTCTCTCTCTCTCTCTCTCTAACTCTGCTTGTCAAAAAAAATAATTTATAGCTCTACTTTAGTTGAAATTTTGTATAGAAATTATACAATTTCCGGGGCCGGCACTGTGGCGTAGCGGGTAAAGCTGCCGCCTGCAGAGCTGGCATCCCATATCACCGGGGTTCGAGACCCAGCTGCTCACTTCCGATCCAGCTCCCTGCTGATGGCCTGGGGAAGATGGCCCAAGTATTTGGGTCTCCATCACCCACGTGGGCGACCTGGATGAAGCTCCTGGCTTCAGCCTGGCCCAGCACTGACCACTGTGGCCATCTGGGGGAGTGAACTAGTGGATGGACGCACACCCGCTCTTTCTCTACACCTCTCTGTAACTCTGACTTTCAAATAAATAAATAAATCTTTAAAAAAAAAGAAATTATACAATTTCCTACCACCTGGGTCAAGCAGAAAAGAAGCTACCCAAGGAGCATTTCTGTCCCTTGATACCAGACTTCTCTCAACTGTGAAAACTAAACTCAAATGAGGTGTGATTCAAGTCCTTAGAGAAGCACAGCAGTGAGATGAAAAGAAAAACCTTAGCTATATTACATATCACAAAATAACAGAGCTAAAAGGGAGATCTTATCAAATACTCTGACTATATAAAAGACAAAAGAGATCTACAGAATTTAAGTTCCCATGATTAGTTAATCACGGTGTCTAGAAGTCTTGACAGTTTTCTATTATACCATATTTATTCAGGTCTGTATGCTAAAAATGTTCTCAATCCTTTCACCCTTCAATTAACTGATTAGTCAATGGGTAACTGTGGCCAAAGTAGACAAAGTATGGTTCAAAAAGTATGGAACTAAAATAGTTTCCATGTCACATAGGTAGTCAGACATTTACTCTCTCAAAAGAGGTATCCAGGCAGAGGTATTTCAAGTTTACGTATTGGGAAATATTACTAAATCAAACAGAAACAAAGAATAATCAGCTCTAAAGAGATATCCGTGGGTGGTTCTCATATTTCAAAATACTATGTTACCAGACAGTTTTAAGTAGTCAATGATTTGCAAATATATTTTAAAGTAATATATAAAATAGAGGTCAGCATTTTGGTACAGTGAGTTAACCCACTGCTTGCAACACCAGCATCCCATATAAGCACCAGTTTGAGTCCTAGCTGCTCTATTTTCAATCCACCTCCTTGCTTATGCACTTGGGAAAGTAAGGGAAGATGGCCCAAGTAGCTGGGCCTCTTCCACCCATGTGGGAGACCCGGATGAAACGCCTGACTTTGGTTTGGCCCAGCCCCATCATTGCAGCCATTCGGGGAGTGAACTAGCAGATGGAAGACCTCTCCTCCCCACCATAACTCTGCCTTTCAAATAAATGAAAATCTTAAAAAAAGAAATAAAATATAAACATTTTAAAAAGTAATATAATAAAATAATAAAATAATAAAATAATAAAATAATAAAATAAAAATAAATTAATCTGCTGTGAGGCTGTTTCCAAATTTGGAAGTGGCCTTATCTTAAAGTCAAGAACCTATTTTACTGTAAATCACACATACACGTACACACATACACACATCTACGCTTTGTAGTTAACATTTGGAGATTATATTAAAGTATGCCATATTGGTACATACCTTTCATATATATATACATATATATGTGTATATATATATCACAACAACAGATGGCATACTGGTACTAATATTATGGTTAACTAAGTTTTCACCACATAGTTGAATATATCACTGCTTTTCAAGGCATGAAATGTTTTTAGAAAAAACATTTTGACGTTTTCTCAAATATAAAGAACACTAGAGGAAAAGTCAATAGACTAAGTTTTGCTCCTGGATCTAGCATGCAGAAGGTAAGCAGCTTCAGTCAAATTACAAACTACTCTCTACCTCAGTTTTCTCACATGACAACTGGGTTTGTGAGATAGGCCTCTAAGGGTCCCTCCAGGCCTGAAATTCTACACTGAATACAGTACATTATTTTTATACAAGTTTCACCTATGTCATATATACAGATTTAAAAAAATAGTGATACTTTCCACCCTATCCTCTCTCCCAACCATGCTTCAACCCTTCTTCCTCCTCCTTCTCCCATTCCTACTCTTAATTTTTTCAAAGATCTATTTTCAAGTTACTTAATGATCAAAAATTAATCCTACACTAAAAGCGTTCAACAAATAGTTTGAAGAAGAAAAAAACATAGTACACTATTTTTATGGTTAAGAAGCCACTTCAGGACCGGTGCCGCGGCTCACTTGGCTAATCCTCCACCTGTGGCGCCGGCACCCCAGGTTCTAGTCTCGGTTGGGGTGCTGGATTCTGTCCCAGTTGGTCCTCTTCCAGTCTAGCTCTCTGCTGTGGCCCGGGAAGGCAGTGGAGGATGGCCCAAGTGCTTGGGCCCTGTACCCGCATGGGAGACCAGGAGGAAGCACCTGGCTCCTGGCTTTGGATTGGTGCAGCGCGCCGGCCGTAGCGGCCATTTGGGAGGTGAACCAACAGAAGGAAGACCTTTCTCTCTCTCTCTCTCTCTCTGTCTAACTCTGCCTGTCAAAAAAAAAAAAAAAAAAAGAAAAAGAAAAAAGAAGCCACTTCAGGTCTCTGACATGTTTAAGACCATTATAAGCACAGAGTGTGACATCACTTTTTAATTATTTATTATTTTATTGAAAGGCAGAGAGACAGAGTGAGATTTTCCACCTGATGGCTACAAAAGCCAGAGTTGGGCCAGGACAAAACCACCAGCCAGGAACTCAATCTCAGTCTTCCACATGGGTGGCAGGGACCCTAGTATTTGAGCCATTACCACTGCCACCTAGGGAGCACAATAGCAGGTAGCTGGAATTGGGAACTCAAACCCAGGTGTTCTGATATTTGATGTAGGCACTCCAAGTAGCATCTTAACTGCTATACCAAATACAACCACCCCCATCAGTTTTTAACAAAATATCCAAAGCCAGGAAACAGCTGTACTCCAATTAGTTTTACAAACTTAATTCTTCCAAATGAAAATGTCTTTCCAATATCCTTTCTTCCCTTTATTAAAATACATTCCTATCCATCCCTTAAAATGACAATGTCTCGGCGCTCAGCTCTCTGCCTCTCTGCTGAGTCGCCCACCTGGTCTGGCCAGGTGTAATCTCTGCACTCAACCATGTAACCTCGCTCCTCCCCCCCCCCCAATAAAAAATGACAATGTCTCTCAATTTTCAGCAATTTCTAAAAAGCTGCCAATGTACAAATGCTACTAGATGAGAAAGACTACTTTTTCCAAGTAGACTGCAACCATATGATATTGTTACACTGAATCTTAACAATTTGTCTTTCCTTCCCACTGGACTGCAAACTTTTATTTAAAAACATTTACTATTTTCATCTACTTGGGAGGGAGGGAGGGAAAG